CCGGGACAAGCTCTAAGCTCCCGACCGGTCTCCCGCATGAGTGTAGTGCATGCTAGTGTAATTGTAAATAGGGCGAGGATAGGACAAGCGAGAGGAAGGAACGATCGCACGTAGTCTGTTGCCCGTTTGTTAGGGCACTGCTTCAGCATTCGCCTGGTAATGATAGGAGAAACCAGGGAAAACTATCGATCAGAGCAGCCGGCTGCTGGAATTCTCCTCCAGCCAGCGACTGAATTCGACCTAGATGACAAGTAAGTGTCGAAAATCCTGCTACCATCGGACTCGAACATTGCAACTCCCGGTCAGAGAGACTGCAGTGACATCAGTTGAAGCCCGTCAACATTTGCTTAATTGTATTGACGTACTTTTGTTCCACTTTTGTAAATACACGAAGTGTTGTCGAAGATTTTCTTTTTCCTTCGAGATTTGCAAAATCGATGTTCATTTAAATGAACATTGTTTAAGAAAGTCACTGCCATGTTCCACAGATACAGCTCTTTTGTGCAGCTACGGTGGCCGGAGTGTAGAGAGGGTAGTAGCCCTTCTTCTGTCGCTGGCGCGCGATGTGCTGGCGCCGCTGCTGGTGTGCTGGGGAGGCGACTTGGCGGCGGGTGCGGCGCAGCGCACATCCCTCGCCCTGGGCCGCCTGCACACCCAGGCGCCCGCGGCGCAGCCCTTGGCGCACACCAGGCAGCTGGAGCTGTTCGCCCTGCAGCTGGCCACCACGCGCGCGCACTTCTCCTGCTGCGGCTTCTTCGACGTCAACCTGCAGCTGCTCTTCACCTTCTTCGCCTGTTTGATCATCCTTTTACAAGTAAACGTGAATCATTCGTCACGAACCTTTCTCGTGAAATGAGATAATTTCTTCTAAGCTTCGAACTAATGCATTTCTTTCCTTTGTAGATGTAAAGCTTGATACATAGCAAATAGATTCTCTCATTGAATTAAGTGCCCTACACAATGTGAGCATTGCATCGTAAACAACATTGCCGGATGGAGCGCTGCGGTTATTGACTTTTTCAAGAGAGCATTGATGAATTTGCGTCGGAGCGAACAGCTTAGTAGAGCCATGGAGATTTTCCGCATGCCAGGAACTCATGGCGGTAGAAGCCCAATGGGTGACTCTGCGCCAATTGGTATCACACCTGCTGACGCATACACACGAAGCTGTGAGCAGGTCCCAGGGACCGACCGAGTCAGTTGTCTTGGGCCAGAAAAACACAGCACTGAGAAACACAACGTTGAGGTCGCTACAGGCGATGGGCCTTGGGCCTTGCGCCCACTCCTCCGCCTGTGCGCCCTCGTGGGCTTCGCCCCTCTGGGCAAGCGAGCCGTCCTGGCGGTCGTCGTCCATGTTGGCGCAGCGGCGTGCGTGCTGCGCGAGGCAGACCCTGCAGAAGGAACTTTCGAAACGGCCATGGCCATCACACTCACTGCAACTGCTTTGTCTGTGCAGATAGTTGCTGTGCTGCTTTTCTCAACTGTTGGCACGTCGCGTTGGGCGATCTTGTTAAGAAATATACAGAAGATAGATCAAGAACTGTGCATCGTCGAGACAATTTTGGACAAGAAAAGGAAAAGAAGTATCTTTATACAAATTTTCAACGTGGTTCTCATCCATGTAATCCAATTGGTTATCTGTGTCTTCGCGTGGAATTTATCTTGGTGCTTTCTGACTGCACAATATTATCTACTGGCCTGTCATGCCCTCTTTGACATCCAATATGCCAACCTAGTGCTCCTGGTGAAAAGCAGATACAAATCCATCAACAAGCAGCTTGAAAGACTGTCGAAGAAGCAAGAAAACAAGATATCAATGTTTACAAGATCCGGCGACTACAGCAGGTTAAATCGCGCACACCTTCGCATCACGGAGTCCTGTGATCACATCAATTCCATCTTCGGCGTCCCGCTTCTACTCGATTTTGTCTTCTTGTGGTCAGAGTTGATGAGCGTCCTGTATTACTTAGTGGTGGCCGACGCCAAGTTCGGCGGCGAAAATCTCCTGGAAAAGCTGGGGCTGCTGTCGTACTTGGCGCGCGACACGTTGGCCGCCCTGCTGCTGACGTGGAGCTGCGCGTCCGCGGCGGGGGAGGCGCGGCGCACGGGGCGAGTGCTGGCCCAGCTTCTCGCCCAGAGAGACGCGCGCCCGGGCTGCGCGCTGGCCGCCGGAGCGCGCCTGCAGTGCTTCCTGCAGCAGCTGCCCAGCTCGCGCCCGCTGTTCCACTGCTGTGGCCTCTTCGTCATCGATTTGCGGCTCTTGCTAGCGTTTTTTGGTGTGATGTTCGGGTATTTGGTGGTGTTGGTGCAGATCGGCGCCGCGATGAAATAGGGTGTATGTTATCCACAGTTTATTTCGAAGAGCATATATAGTGGATCTCACTTGTGGTACCTTGAATCTAAATATTCAATGCTTTCAATATCTCAAATCTGAGAAGGAAATAAAACAACATCAAATTATCAAGTACTTCAACTTATGAAGGTTTGAATAAACTCCTATCTTTTCAGTTTAGTAGCTGGATAGAAAATTCAGTTGAGTTCGACCTTTGGGAGAATTTCTTGTATCAGAGATCTAGTTATCTAGGTTCAACTATGTAACTCTCCCTATTTCATTAAAAGATGAATACCTTTCGAATCTTCAATTTACCTCCGCAAAAATATGTTCTCAACATGGAACTTATTTTTTAATGATTATATCCTCCAACCATTCTATTAAAAATCATTTTAGAAATTTCTTTCTCTCTCCCCTCACCATGATCTTACTTGTTCTGCTTAGGTTCAGATTAGTCTTTTTCTCTTTGCCTCCCATGTGTCTCATTTTCTTCTGGTGCTTCCCACTTTGCTACGCGCACCCAGTATTCGAATGTTGCCGTTATTCGTTATTAGAATTACATTTTGCGTAAATACTAGAAAATTTACGTCATTCGTGTATCATACCACTGGAATATCTTTTAATACTAGGGATAAATTGCGATCTTACCGATCGAAGTCTCAGAACACCTAGCGGCCTGAGACAAAAACCTGAGAGTTTAACATTACTTGACCTAAGTAGGTATCATTGCAGAGCTTAATTCACTGGTCTAAAAAAGTACTTTGTACACTTTAAAGACTTTAGAAAAATGTTGTCCTCTTCAACTGTGCTGTATCTATATAATGAAAATTAAAATTTTTGTCTGTTTATTTTTATGACTTTATATGATGCACATGAAATTATTATTCCATTGGTTTGCCTGTCTAATTGTCCAAAATAATTTCGGAGACAGCTACACCAATTTAGATGGATTTAAGAAGTGCCATGCAGTATTTTATCTGGCGTATTTTAGGCTACATTTTTCCGATGAATACTTCATAATATATAATTAATATTTGTTCTTATACAAATCTGTTTCATTCTGTTTTTAATTACATTTTATACATGTGATCTTTAAATTCGATAAAATTTACTATCAGCAAGTTAATTCGAACAATATAGTGCTATTAAATTAGGCTTTGAGTCTCTGAAGATAAAACAAATATTACTGAACGTTTGCTGGGAGAATGCAACAACACATTTGTTTTCAGCTACTTGGAGGAATGATGGTAGTATCAAATGGGGGGGGGGGGCTAGGAAGAGCGACGCGGGCCAAGGTGGGTAAGGAGGGACTACGTGGATGGGATGGCGTAGAGCAAGACAGAGCTGGGCAGGGACGGGCACGACAGGGTGGGGCAGGGTGAGGCAGGACGAGTTAAGACATGGTAGGGCGGGGATACACAATAGAAATTATTCATTCTTTTTCCTGTTTAATTTACGATTGTTTTGAAAAATACCCGGGCAACGCGAGATACTTAAGCTAGTCTTTATATACCATTATTTTCTATTGTTAGCCATTCACTTGCAACAATCTTTACAAAATATATTTCAAACCACACACTCTAAACACACACTAGTTCTCAAACTACGCAGACTTCTTGACAAGAAAAGTATTACTACGCGAGATCTTACGAGAGCCAATACGCAACGAATAAAGATCAAACGTCTACATCGAATTTCAATATTCAATGACTTAAATAGACGTGACTTACACGCTCCATCAGGCCAGAAGGAATGCAACTTTTTCCAAGACTAAAAGTAGAATATGGATGCATAAATCATCTTTATAAATGGAATGAACGGAGAAAGAATTGTATAAGGTTGTCGTGATTTATTCAAATCGATCAGGTCATACCGAATTCGCTCTCAAGAAAGTAAACACTGTACTTGAATAATCGCATTCCATTTGTTTCAGTCACATTAAAATTCCGAACATTTACCGCATTGTACACATTGTAATAGTATAGTACACACACAGTAATAGTACCTACATTTAAACGAAATAATCAAAAAACTAAACACTATCAACTCTTAACTCACCAATTTGACTTTGATAAAAATAATGATTAACGAATCTTTTGTTTTAATTGTTCAGTTATCTAAAATTCTATTGAATATTTTGTTAACATATACATAAACGTGTGGATTAAATTCATCCACAAAAGTCCCTGAAATAAAACATATATCATAATCAGAATTCACAAGCAACATTTTCCAAATGTTGCCAATGTGAATGTTTCTCATAACTGATATTTACTTACATCACCAATAGTGATACATGGTGTCAGAAATTAGGGGCACAATGTAGATGTCCAGTTTAATCAAGACGAAATTGATGTGAATAAACTGAGTAAAACTATTTTAAAAGAGTGACTTTGAATAATAAAGTTTCATGTGATAAATATTATTTGCTAAATATCCAAGCTAAAAATTGACACTTACATTGGCAGTGTCAATCTATAGAGCGAATTATAAACACGTTACAATATTTAAAGAGAAGTGGTTATTATCTTACCTCCGTATTATCTCAAATCAACCTCTGTTTGTGAACGAATGCAGAAAAAAAAATCTCACAGAAAAAATACAACTACTCTCCCCTCGAATGAGAGTTTGCGAAATTGACAATTTTGTCGATACTGAGTCTTTCCATTTAGGCTCCGGCAGGGCTTTCTCGCACAGTGGTCAATTTGCATGTCGCGGCCCGCGCGAATGAGCCAGTGGGTGGGGGATGCTTTCGTGGTGGTGGTGGTGGTGGTGGTGGTGGTGTTGGTGCTGGTGCTGGTGCTGGTGCTGGTGCTGGTGCTGGTGCTGGTGCTGGTGCTGGTGCTGGTGGTGATGGTGGTGATGGTGGTGGTGGTGGTGGTGGTGCTGGTGGTGATGGTGGTGATGGTGGTGGTGGTGATGGTGGTGGTGGTGATGGTGGTGATGGTGCTGGTGGTGGTGCTGGGGGTGGTGGTGGTGGTGGTGGTGGTGGTGGTGGTGGTGGTGGTGGTGGTGGGCAATAAAGAAGGCCAACAAGACGGGCGGATCTGTATATGACAGCAAAATGAAAAAAACGTAAAATTAGGCGAGAATTGCAGTGTTGGAACGTAGAAGCAACGACTAGAAAGATTGGAAATGTTTACTATTCTAGGACATGAATGTCCAACGTCCCGCATACCAACTAGCTACAGACTACATTTCCCGTAGAAAGGACAAACTTTGATGATGAATGCGGGTGGCGAGTTTAAGCCGGGGGGTTATCGCATTTTTGATCCACCTCCTTTTTATCAGGTGGTGATCACAGTCATGTTTTGCCTTTGCATTCCGTGGTTGGATGGTGGTAGGAGTGATCATGGACGGGACGAATTAGTGGAATGATTATTCTCCCGGAATGCATGATAGGGTTACAACACAGCCTTGACACAACACGTGAAAAAAGTCAGTCCGTACGCAGGATTTGAACTGCAGCCTTCGACTCCGCGTTCCGTAGACGAAGGACCCATAAGGGCCAAACTCTTCCGCCCGCCAGCCGCTTCTTGTATCAACACCGTGAACACAAGCTCGCTAAATGATACCAAGATCTGCACTGCAATGAAAAGCACTTATCCTCTCCCTGGAGTATTGCAGTACTCACGTTGGCCACAGGAGTTTCGAAACCAACAGGACGTGTCATACCTGTGATCACTGTGCGATTGAAATGGTGGAGAGGGAGGGGAGTAGCGAATAGATATATTGACTAGAGTTTCAGAGCACGTCAACTGGCAGGGTTTCATTAGTATAGTGAATGTGCCATCGCTAAAGGTGGTGGAATTCCTTCCCAGCGAGATGGTGAGATCGGACGCAGCCCTACAAGTCGACTTGCGGGGATTTCCCCTCTCCATGTATCTCCTCCATCAAGATACCACCTCAGGCGGGTCGTACGTTAATCGTCTGACAAGTTTAGTAGTATATTGTATATGTACGTAAGGATTGAGAATAATATAAGAAAGAGGAAGGAAAGACCGCGCGCAGCACCCTGCTCCGGCATTCGCCTGGCGTTAACCGGAAGAATCACTGAAAACTACCGATTAAAGCAGCCGTCCGCTAGAATTCTCCTCCAGACAGCGGCTGGAGCAACTCGACCTAGCTATCTAGCCAGCGTCGCGTACTGCCACCGTCGAGACTCGAACAATAGAACCTCGCGGCCAGAGGCACTGCAGTGCCAATAGCTGATGCCCTGAGCCACTTCAGCCGGACAGTGAGAACAAAAACAAGAATGCTGGTCCCGGGAATACAGAGCTATGCAATGCAATGGGACTGGAAGTTCGACGTTGGCTATAGGCTAGAACGCTATGACTGACAAGGAAATTGGACACATAGGTGTGTTACGAGGGTACGAACGGTGATGTAAAATCAAAACGCGCTTGAAGGGAGTTACACATTTAATTGCTCTGCTGTGAAATGCTGCCATAATGAATGCTCTATCAAGCATCGTTACCTTTGGCGGGATGCGGACTAGAATCCGAAAATACCTGTTCATTCGCACGGTAAATTGATTATATGAATTTTTTTCATTTGTGCCTATTGAATAGAACGCAGAATATTGAATAGAAATTGAATATAATGCAGATTCTAATGTGGAAAAGGATATGGAAAAGTCTAGGAGGTTCACCGTATTTATTATTCTGTATATTTAAAATTACGCTGAAAGAATTTGATAATACTTGCAGGTTGTCATCATTACGGTCCAAGGTTCCGGTCTTAGGTTCCAAGTATGTTTACCAATTCTTTATATCATTATTTTAATACACTATTCGCTTTTTTCTGAACCAAATACGTCGATTCTATTGACACCAAAAATGACTAGAGAGTTATGGTCCTAAAAAGGGCTACATCGAAATTTTTTAAAAACGAATGCAAAACTTGCTTTAGAAAACATTTTCATTGGTTGAATTTTTACTGTGGACTGGAATCTGAAATTATTGCTACTATTTAGATTAATATTCATACTCAAGTTAGAAGGTGCACTACTTCGACTAAACGAAGCGAGGAACATCATCTAAGCTGTTTCATGAAAGAAAGAGCCAGGCACTGTAGGTGACGTGATCTTGTTGCAGCTCTTGAAAATTCAGTGTAATCCTGGTTACGCAAAAATAAAAGACAAATGGAGTTCTTCTAGAAGAAGAAAAAACAGGACAATTTCCTCGAAGTCCGAGACCAGTGACATTTATGGAGTGTGCACCATTCATTTCATGCTCCGTCAATCGGTTTCTGGCTTCAAACGGGCGTTCAAAGAAGTCTTCTAATGAGCATTCAAGGAAGTCTTTCTAATGAGATATCTTAAGATTACACATGGTTCTTCATTGAAGTAGCGCATCTTTAAGGTAATTTTCGGTTAGGATGCTAATTTTCAAAAGAAAGTTTTAAGAAGTTGAAAACTTGTTAATTTTTTTGTTTTTTAAGAAGTGTTCATGATCAGAAGTGAAAATATTGAATACAATTTGTTGGTAATTTAAATCTTATTTATTGCCATTTATGTTGAAAAATACACTAACATGATTAGAAAAAATATAAAATCCTACAGTGAGCTAAATCGATTTGTCAAAGAGCCAAAAATGACGATTATAAAATACTAAAAATCCGTTCCCTAATCGTCATTAAAAGCAAACAAGAACTCAAGAAGATTTTGACTTGAATATGTGAAATTTATTTTCAGTAATAAAATTAATATTATGTTTGTCACATTAGACTTAACAAAAAACAGATACAAATGTCCCTTATAGTTGCTACCATTTTAATTTCTCAACTCACAAAACTTCAATAACGGCTGCAATTTTGGCTTCTCTACGAGTTTATTACTGTAAAATAGAATATTTATTTATGGTATTACTGATTGTCTAACGTAAGACTGTTTAAAGAAGTATCAAATTAATTAGAAAATTTATTGACAAATATGCATTTAATGTATACAATTATATAATTATTTAGGTTAATTTAATATGAAGGAAATAAATGTCAATTTTCTAGTTTCATTTCTTTCATTAATTTTTCCTGTATTCAGATTTATTTATTAGAGTCGTCTGGGTGTTTATCAATTTGGTATTTTAACATTCGCGCATTTGGTAATATAATTCGGTTACGTTTTTTTATGCCAAACAATTATTAAGACTCATCCAAATTATGTAATCATGTTTCCGATTTTTGGTCTTAAGTGTCTAATCAAGTTTAGTTCAGATGATGTTAAAGTTAATGCATAGTATAATTGTGAAGATATATTTTCTAATCAATTTGCATTTTTCAAATACAAAGTGCAGTGTTATTGAATAATGATGGGAAAATAAGTTTTTATTGAATTTCATTCAATTCAAATTCAATAACGAATATTATTGAACATCATTCATGAGTAAAAGATTCATCTTTGATAAACACGAATTGTTTGTTATGAAAGCAGAAAAAGAATCTAAAATTTCCTCTTGAAGCGAGTTTTAGATTACGTTTGTAAGTAATATACTGTGAATCAAGAATAATGATGAAGAAAATTTTGCAAACGATGGTTCAGAATTTTTGTAATTCATCGGCTTAACATTATTGAATATTTTTACGCAAAGATTTATGGAGTTTACGTAATTTTACGGTTTAGATATTACGAAAATGTGTTTGGAATGCTCTATCACCACTGGTTATCTCATTCATTCATTTCGACAAAGGATGGAGCATGGTGTCGGCCCTGGTGAGGATTTGGCAGTGAAACACGGCTGGTAAACGGCGCTGTTGCGTGAATCGGGCGCGTCGTCACAGGTGGGTGGTGTGACGTGCTTCGTAATTGCCCCACTTATAGCCCTTCACTTGGGCCTGGCCCTGCAGCTCTAATTGGATACATTGTGTGACAACCACCATTCGTGCAATAGCCCAATGACCCCCAAGTCGGCCTGCCGCGTTGCCAACCACCTCGGGTGTGGCTGCCAACAGTACCATGCGCCTGCCGCCACTAATTTGGACGCTCTGAGCGTTGACAACACTGACAAACGAAGCTGATGATTACAAAGCAAATGCAAGGTTTTGGCGTTGGACATTGGGTTTATCAGAAGTCATGCGTAAATTTTTGAATGTGGAATTGCATTTAAATATATAATGTTTTACAATTATTTAATTGGCGATGTTATAATTATTATTCACAATTATACACAATAATTTCATCTTGTTTTTTAATCTTAAACACCCTTTTTAAATTATTATTAATGGTAAACTAATTGTAAATTAATGCAACACCTATTATTGTGTACTTTCTCTTCAAGTTTTGTGTGTTCTCTGCAATAAAGCAACAATATTTACCTAAGAAATGCCTATTAGTAACGTAAATTAATTTACATAGACACTAATAAGGTATTAAACGAATTGAGATTCAATATTTCTTCAAAATATTACATTTATTTGGTTAGCATTTCAAGGCGTTCGCTAAAAAAATGTTTCCATTTCCCAAAGAGATTTTGCTCATCATATCAATATATTTCGTGTCTAATAGAATATATTAATAAAAATAATTTTTGTTTCAATTGACGTTTTACACAATTACATAATTATATTTTGCCAAATACTATCATCCCTTTCGAACTTGTGCTTAATCTCGTTGTTAGGAAAATCCCAGTCCTAGACAGGCAAGTCACAAGAAGCATCAGAATGTAAATTTCTATATCTTTGAGACGTTTTACATTCTGAGAAAATTAATAGTAGTATACGTAGAAACAATTAAGAGTTTCGAAATGCGGTAAAGTAATTTAACATTTCAGTATTACAACGAAATGAGTGATACAACAATGCAATTAATGCATTAAACTATATTATTCAAAGTAATTAAAATGATTTTAATGTGTATGTTGATTGGACTGTCCACACTTGCGAATACATTTGTCTAATATGCACGTAATTAAGGATACGACAATTACGAACAAAATGCGAATCCCAAAACAATCTCTTTACCGTTACCTTCACCACGGAACTCACGCAAAGCCTTATGAAAAGCAAGAATAATCCTCGCCAAAACATTTCGAATACCGTGCGTGTGACGGTCGTCGAGGCAAGAGCACCTAGCGCGTCCACGAGCGACAGCCTCTGCATAAATTACGCGCAACACATAACGGCGGGCCAACTTCCCAGGCGTAATCCACAAGCTAAACGAGGCTCGACCGTAACGCTCACAGGCTTGCAGGCCCGTCGGGCGGCCGGGCGGCCGGGGGCGTTGTTTGAGGACCGGGCACTAGGTGAGGACGGGGCTCCCGCTGCTATCCCTTGGGCCAACAGTCGCCGCTCGGGCCGTCGCCCCGTCCCTTCCCCTGCCCAAAGCGCGCGCCTTTCGTGGCCCGGGGCGGCATACCTTACGCAAACATCGAATGTACGAGCGGCTGTTCGACGAGGGCTGTTGCTGAGCTCGCTGGCCACGAGCAGTGAGGATGAACGTAAAAATAAGGACACAACGTACAAAGTTGAACGAAGATTTTATGACTATTATTATTATTATTATTATTATTATTATTATATTATTATTATATTATTATTATTATTATTATTATTTGCATATCGGCCATTTGTGACCATGCTACACGTTATCTTCCGAGGTCCCGCGGAGATTAACGTTTGTAATTATGGGAATCAGCTTTGTACGGCTGAATCTCTTGATAAGACTAGGTTGTTACGCTGTGAATTATGAATAATGAGGTGATATGATAATGAGGAGTGAAGGGCCAATCACAAATATGACCATGTCTATGAAGGACTCGAACCTGCAGCCTCCTCCTCCAACCGTCTGCGCCACGGGTCCAGCTTTATTATTATTGTCATTATTAATATTATTATCATCGTTATTATTATTATTATTATTATTATTATTATTATTATTATTATTATTATTATTATTGTTATATTTATTCAATTTTTCATATATAAGAATGACGACGTTAATCCTTTTAATAAGAAACTTTGGATACAAAACCCGTAAGGGCAGTATTCCTCTTGGATATGGAATTATCTCCCATGGGTGTATCAAAGAGAATTACGACGAAAAACATAGAAGTTCGCAGATTATGACATACTTCGGTGATCAGGCGCACCTGCAACCTGCAAAACACATACGCTGCAACACATTTCACCATCGTGGATCGATCTGTCCTAGAAGCTTAGAAACATAATGGTAACACAACTTGTGCTAACTATCCCATAATCTACAAAATTATTTCTTTTTGGATGTTGTTACATGTTCATAGTTGGGATTACTGTGAAGCGGTTTGCATTTTCAAAACAATAATTAAAAAAGTGCTGTTGTTTGTAGATTGCCATTTTTTTTAAAAAAATATTAGGGGCCCTCTGTTGCATTTTTTAGGGTTTTACTGTTCCTGGCAGTCTGTCTATCCTGAAAGTCCCATTTAATGCGACAGGAGAGATGCTGGATCAACGTATCGTTTTAAAAAAATTCTGATAAAAATACTTAAATTACATTTTTGAAATTCCAATTAATTTCGATTAACAAGTGTGAGTACATACAATGAACCATTGGAGGAACATTTGAAGGAACAACTGTTGAAACATTTGAGTAAACATCCTGGAGAACATTTCGAAGAATGAGGGGATGGGAGGATCTTTGTTTCATATTTATTCTTAAATTCTATTTACATTGATCACTTACGGAGTGGCTTACAAAATAGAAAAGGGAACATCTGGAGAACATATGGTGAACATTTGGGAGAACATTTAGCCATCTTTAAATGAAGGCATGAGGAAACATGTAAGGTGTCGTACTGAGAACTCGAGGAGGTCTATTATACCGGAAATACCGGTCATACCGGAAACACATGAACATGCGAGGAATAATGTGGAAAGGATTCAATGGTCCATGTGGCCAATATGCGAGGGAATCATGTGGTAAGGATTCGGATGTAGTAGATAATACCGACATCCGACAGAGAAAGTGAGAGTCAAATCCTAGGAGCATTTAGGGACCGCCCGCGAGGTACGCCTTCTCGAAAAAGGAAGTAGGCTTCTAAAGAAGCCTGGGACGAAAACTCAGGTAATGCAAAGGGAAACTACCCTGAATTTAACCTCCCAAGAAAACCCATCATTGGTCACCTAACATCCACCAAATAACACCAACACTGGTCCACCGACCAAAGAAGAAAAAATTATTCGTAACTTACTCAACCACTATGTATTATCGTCTTTTAAAACAGCATTTCCACGTCGAAAACAACAAGTCATGATAATTGAGTCGTACATTTCTGGAGAATTAACTTTTCTGAGTTCGTCCTCCTGACGAGGGTGGACAGAAACGAGAAAAAACTCGAAATCTCTGTAAGTTAAATGAAAAGAAAAAAAACAAAGAAACTTTCTACGATAAAATTTAGGTCAATTATTAATTTTAGATGGAAATTAATCTCTCCGCTTAACAATTTTAGAACGTTTACTCATGCAGAGTGACGGGTCTCTAATCCTATCGCAAGTTCAGGGGTTGGCCGTTCAATGTTAGGTTCCAGAAAACCATTTTCACCAAACAACCGCTAACAAAGAGTGAAATGTCAGCAAGAGTCCAGGTTATTAATATAAATATTATTATTATTATTATTATTATTATTATTTCTCCGATTGCGAGAATGTATGCAGTTGCGTCTGGGGAACTGAGGCTTAGTAGACGAGGTTGATGGTCCGTGTAGCTGATATCCGACACCTTTTATATAGCTTGGTTAATGCAGATCAGCGCTGCATGTGAGCTTTATAGGTCAGCTGCAGTGGTCGGATGCTTGTGTGATTTCGTCCCATTAGTTTCAGGCGGATGCCGAAGACGTCCCTTAATCGACGACCACGCCCCACGTACTGCCCTTCCGTCTTCATCCGGCAGAACGATGACGAGTTCACAGCCCGTGTAGATCCTACATGGTCTGTGGGCTGCGGGAAATAACTTATTTAGATACTGCCAAGAAATGAAGTAGCAGTTCGTATGATTGTTCTTAATGAGTAATGAAGTTGAATTATTTTCTTTCTTTTTACTTCCTTTGCTTTCTTCAAGGGTGCAGAATACATTTCATTAAAAAGACTCACGAGGATGTTTCTATTTACAAAGTAAATAAATGGAATAAGAAAAATAATAACAAAAATAAGAAGACTTTTATTCCCGATAATGTGTACTATCTCGGGAAAGTATGGAACTAAAGTATAAACGTAAATAAGAATGTAGAAATATGGTAGTCACTTTGTATATCGCTAATCAACATCCACTAACTGATCAATGTTGAAAGCAAAATAAAATACGCTAGTGGTCTTACAACAGGACAAACTTTCTGGCATTAATTGTAATTTTTGGAAATTCAGAGAGTTCATGATTTTCATGGGATTTAATTAATGTATCGGGTCAGATAACCTAAAATGATATTTCTTCGAATAGAGAACCAAGCAAGCATATCTGAAGCACTGTGTTAATAACACTCAAAGATGATTATACAGGGAGTGTTATTGCACGTGCTTTCTCTTCGCAAACGAGGGACGTTGTTTTATGTTGGAATTATGAAAAGAGGTATTCGTAAAATTTCATTATAAATAACAGACACATAACGTCCCGCGAAGCTTTGATGAACGACGTGAAAGCTTTTTTCTTTCTCCGCTAAGTGAATTTCTCGTTTTAAACCCACTGTGTGGCGGTGCCGAGGGCGAGAAGCGTTTTGCGTATTCCGTGGATCCCGGCACGTGTTGCGTTTTTATTGCAAGATGTACGGGCGAGAGCAACTGTGGGATGGGGGTTTGGTAAGCGACCGAGAGAAACAGTTGGCATTGCAGCCACTTGTTTTTACTGGCGGGGGGGGGGGGCAGTGAGCGGATTTTTGCGACTCAATGTCCCTATGACAAACTGCGCAGGATTATGTCTGCGGGAGCGACAGGAAGAAAATTATTGTAAACTCGTCTACAAATCACGCGATGATCCGGTGGTAGGGGGTTGGTCGTCGCCCAAAGGGGACAGGTGAATCCACTGGGGAATCGGGTCCCGGCAGGTTGTGGGGGAGGGGCTACCGAAAGAGGATAAATGGGGGGAAACCCGGCACTACTGGGTGTTTACATCTGTGCAACAAATGGACCTCGTGCGACGAAAATACAATGGGTACATTATCGCGTGATTACAAGTTTACACAACGAAGTATAGGACGATGTTACTTTATGAAATCATTGTACTGTCTGTGATGAAGTTTAAAAGTTCATGAAATCCTTGAATTTCGACATTCGTGTGTAAATAATGATTTCGCTTTTTGAAAATCGTGCTTATACAAAAAATAAGAATAAATTCACTGTATATTCCAAGTGAATTTAATAAGAGACCTCAAATAACACAGATTATTCACTCATGTTAGGCATACTGAGTTCGTTTCCTGTACCAGTGGTAGCGCATAGGATACGGGAATTTTTATATACCGTTATTTACACTTTCATGTCTCAATTTGGTTTACGTTGTTACCCAATATATTTAATTTTGAGTCGAATAGAATACAATGGCAGATGTCTAACATTTTACTTCTTCATTCGGTCATAATTATTCTCTTCAAAATACCCATTATTTTGAATTCGACACAATATCATTTCAATATAAATGAAGAGACGACTTACACACATTGATATCAATATGTGTATAAAGTTTTGATTCAAACTTCCAGAAGAAATTAGTTTACTGATTAATATAAACACGTAAATATATACTTGTACATTATTTGGCAAGTGTGGAACAAAGTACAAATGATACGGAACTGAGACAAGTACTATAACATTTATAGTAACGAACATTGTAACTCGAGAAATGTTTTTATTCAATATATAACACGTCGCAATATATAACATACTCGATATTCTGGCTCTACAATAAATATTTCTCTCTGTCACCAAATATTTTCTGTTTAATTAATGAGATTCTATTTAAAGAATCAATGCAGTATGACACATTCTAATATTTGTATATAGTATAAATTACTGAAAAGAACTGAATTTTGGCTGAACAATTGGTGGCAAATCGCTGCGATATTTGTGGATATATTTATATAGTGCGAAAAGTCACAAAGTCCTGCAAGTTGCGTAGTTCAAGATCAATCAAACGCAGAAATTTCATTCGCTTATGAATATGAGTGATCGTGTGTATGAATGGAATGCCTATCTTTAAGAATGTCGCTTGATTTCCTAGATAATTCATTGGAGCCTTTTTCTCCAAAATAAAGAGTTCGTATGAAGAATCAGTGAATGAAACAATAAAATTTGTGTTCAATAAACATGAGTTATCTTTGATGTTTATACTTGCAAATTTAAGAATTAATTAATGTGTGATAAATGTGAATGGCGATTTATATTAACATTTGTAACTACTACATTTTAACACCTAAAAATCCGGTTCCCATATTATTCGTCATGAAATAGACGAACATTTCGTAAGCAGCTCCCCAACGAGAGTCAAAATAACTCTTATTAGATCGGACTATAATTTGGTGTTTCCATCGTTCGCAGCTATGTGCTTGTTGCTCATCTTCAAACCCAGTCCCAAAGTCCCTCGGCCGGAGCCATTTTTGTGGGCGTCGAGGGTTCGATCCGTTACAGCAAGATGGCTCCCCAGTTCGCTGGGCGGAAGAGGCGAGGCGCCGCGCCGCGTGCGCAGGACGGAAGAGACGGCGGCGGCGGCGGCGGCGGCGGCGGCGGCGCGGCGCGGCGCGGCGGCGGCGGCGGCGGCGCGGCGGCGGCGGCGACGACCGCGAGTGCCGTCGGCCGCGATCAGCTGATTGCAGAGGCAGGCGCCCTTCCAGCAGCGGTCCTCAGGCGTCCCGCAGCGATATTGATCTCGCCCTTGGCCCGGCCTGGGCGCACAGGGGCATCGGGCGCCGCGCGACGGCGGGGAGAGGGGCGGGCGGGGCGGGGGCGGGGCCGCGCCGGGAGGAGCGCTAATGACAAAGGCGGCAGGCGGAGCAACACGCCCGAGGAACGCTGCGTGCGAGAGGATGTCGGTGGCGCGAGAGTGGTTGGCTCGTCTGAGGGAGGAGACTGAAGGGTGGAACTGGTGGAGAAGAGTAGAGGGAAAGCGAGAGTAGTGAGAGTAGAGTATAAGGTGAGATATGGGGTAAGTGTAGCAGGAAGAGTGAGGAGGAGAGTAAGAATTAAGTGAGAGAAGAACGTGGACGACAGGAACGTGAAACAGTTATAAGTAGGGTGAGAGGAGGACAAACAAGGGGGTGAAAGTGGGACAAGTGTAGGGGAAATAGAGTGAAAGCAAGGGGATAATGGCAGAAGGGGGGGGTAAGTAAAATGAGAAGTGGATGAGTGTGAGATGTCTGAAATGTAAGAGTTGAACATGTAGGACGAGTTACAAAGAGGAGGAGAGAGGGAGAGTAGAGATAGGGGAAGTGACAAGTGCAAACAGAGCGATACCTCATTTTACTGAGTATTTTCTTAAATAGAAAAGGAGTTGAAAAACCTGCTGTGAAACCTCAGAGACAGGCATGGTTAGAGATTAGATACTCATGTAGAAGAAAGCAAAGAGCAGAAATGGGAGCGAAACCCTTTGCCGGCAAGACCGTGTTTAACCACATTCAATATGTAACGATTGAAAGAATTTGTATTTGTGACACGCAGTTGATGTTGATAAGATTTCTGTGTTTCTTTTTTTCTTCTGTATTTCATTTTTTTAGGACTTCTCTTTTGTTTCATAGTGATTCTCTGTTACTCACTCACCCACATGTAGAGAAAACAGAAGAATTTAACAAACCCACCATGAAGACCAACTGATAAAGATATTACTTTAAAATCTGCGCCTTTGTGCCATTTGTGATATTCGCACCCGATGCTTATGAGGACTACATCTATACTTTCGTATAATTGTTTTAAAACGACAGGAAATGCAAATGGAATAGATGTATTTTATTCCCTTTGTGGAAGAGCACAGCCTTCAAACTGAACTTATTTTGGATAATACGTTAATCCTAAGTCGTTCATTAGAACATTGATATTTTTGCAGTAACAGAGTACATTTTCCATACTAAAATGAGAAGAAAGCTTTTCATTTATTTTCCTATATAGATCACATTCGTATTTTCAGCCAATAGGTTCCACTCTTGCAAACATCACGCTTGACGTTCAGTCACTTATTTCGATAGATGATGCTCACGAACAAGATCATTGAGTTATTTTTGCTCAGTACGATGAGGTATATTGTGGGCTATACGACGTAAGTTCATTATAGATTCTGTATTATCACTGGCAGAATTTTCATTGGCGATAGAAATATCTTTTCATTCACATAGTGACTTAGGAACTGCTAAATTTCTGCGATGCTTAACCGGCCGACGAGCTGATGACACAGTTGGATATTCTCTCTTCCCTTTCTTCTTTTTCGAAAAGTCTTCAATTTTTCTGAGACAAAAATTATTCTTTCAGTTGACTTGTGGGTTCTCTGGAAACCATTGTAACACCAAACAGCATATCGCACCTCAAATAGAAAAGTGACACAGTGCGAATTTCTGATTTATCAAAAATTGCAATTTTACGTTTCGTAGTTCCGTAATACTCGTTATAGATTGTACCAAATATTCACTTTCTAGCGGATAGTAATTGAACTAATTCAAAATCAACTTCAGAATAGTAGCAGTACCTCTTGGTAACGTCTTATCAGCTTTTAGCTGAAAAGTGACGATTTCTCACTTATGTCACTTTTCTATTGGAGGTGCGAATGTTTTTTCTTTCCTTTCAACCATTCAATTAGGTTTTTCGGCGTTCGCCTTTTCTTGTCTATGTCTCCAACATAATAATTCACCATAATAACATAATAATAATACGCAGTTTTGAATGATTTTGTTATTGAACGAGTCAGTAACTTCACAATAAACAGTCCACAAAATCACATAATTTATCAGGAGAATGGACTTACCAGCAACCACATAACTTGTTCATTTTTATCTCCAAATCGCCTCCATACAAATAACAAATAACACACATTGAAAGAAATTCAAACAGCTTACCCGTCAAAACCGACGGATACAGCATGTTTGACAGACGTTTGCCGTGTTTCCCACGTAAAAATTTAAAAAGTCCTAATAAATCATGATATTCACTTCGAATCAGTTAGGGCCACATAACAAAAAACGGGACGTGCTGGAAGATTTTCGGATTCATATCTGATAACAGTGCATATGATGCAATAAGGAACAGCAATTTTATCAATATCACCGAAGCCATGTTGACCTGAGTAATAAATGTTCACTTATTCATTTGGTTATAATGAAAATTGCAGAATACACATATAAAATTACTCGTTATAAAAACACATTTGTAACAAACAAAATTTCAAGTAGTACCATCCATAATTGTTAGTATGTATCGTAATAAATTCTGTAGTTATCACTATCATTGTCCTGAGTAGGGATACCCGGCAAGCGTAAACACCTGCTGCGAGGGAGCAAAATGTTGATCGGGCGATGGCAAGCGTTAACCCGTTTAGCAGGCGATTTGGAATTGGGCGCTCCACTCAGCCTGATTAGTTGTAAATACGATTACTCCGCGCCAGCAGGACGCAGCGGTCATCGGCGCTGAATTACATGACGCGAGCGCCGGGCGTACGAACGTGGCGGCGGGCGGGTGGTGGCGGGCGAATGGTGGCTGGCGGGTGGTGGCTGACTGCGGGTGGTGGCGGGCGGGCGGGTGGGCGTGTGGGTGGTGCGGTGGGGAGGGTGTTGGCGGCGGCGGGCGGGCCGGGCGGGCGGCGGGCGGGCGGGCGGGCGGGTGGGTGGGTCGTATGGGTGGGTGGGGTGGTTCGAGCGGGCGGGCGGGCGGGCGGGCGGGGGCGGGGGCGGGGGCGGGGGCGGGGGCGGGGGCGGGGCGGCGCGGCGGGCGGGGGTGGGGTGGGTGGGTGGGTGGGTGGGTGGTTGGGCACGGTGGAGGCAACGCACCCGAGAGAGTAAATCGCCACGAGCCGGCCGGTCGAGCCTCCTCACGAGAGAAAGACCCCGCCGCTGCTCCCATGCGAGCCGCGTCACCACGTGTGTTGCGACCCTTGCCTCGGAGTTTTTTTTCTCTGTTCCGTTCGAACGAGGACAGGGAGTCGTCCTTTTCGGAAGTTTGGTTTCTTTCCCCTTCCCAAGCCGCCGTTTCCGCCTGTATCCTACTTCTAAGCACGCATTGTTTTATTGCAACGGTTGGCGTTCTTTGCTTTTCAACCACATTCGTCAATCCTCACAGCTAATTTTCGGTTGCGCTTTCCAACTGACGACTGGGACGCACCGTAACACAAGTAATTGGCCCCAACCATCACACTAAACAACAGAACAACAATAGCTTATCATCCCATTGCCTCATGGCCACATCGCCCAAACATCCAATCGCCCCATTGCCCCATTACCCTATTTTCCCCATTACCCCATCACCCCATTACCTTTCGCCCCATTACCTATCGCCCCATTATCCATTACCCCATTGCCCCATCACCCCATTGCCACATCACCTCATTGCCACATCACCCCATTGCCCCATCACCCCATTTCCCCAACACCCCATTACCCCATTGCCCCATCACTCCATTGCCCCATCACCTCATTGCCCTATCACCACATTGCCCCATCACCACATTGCCCCATCACCTTATTGCCCCATCAACCCATTGCTCTACCACCCTGTTGCCCGAACATCTTAACTCCTCTTGTCATCGCAATCGCTTTACACACTTCCATCTTTATCGTCCAGGTGCCAACGGCACCACATTGCTTCCTGCCGCCCCTTTTGTGCCAGGGATCTCCGATTCGTACCTCTTCTGAGTCGTGTGCATCTCCTTGTCGCAGCCCGTCTCCTCCACAGACACCTACGTCACAACCGCCTCACCGAAGCCTCCTCCACGGAGCGGCAGCTCCCTTCCGGCTTTCCTCAATCCCCGTTAACCCGGCGGCGGCGCCTGGTCGTGCGTCACAGGAGCCGAACTGCGGGGGCGGCACAGAATCGCGGGCGGCGAGAAACAGTGCAAAATACAGCAAAACAAGAAAACACTTCGCGAAATCTTTCAAATTATTTTACGATTTCAAAAAATCATCTTTCCGAAATGAGAGAAATCTTGGATAGGATTTTTAAAAAAATGTGATCATATTTTGCTTTTGTCGTTGACTTATTTACATGCACATATATTACAAAAAGAACTTTCCAAAACATTGAATTTAAGTAGAGAATCACTCAGTAAGCTATTTATACTAAAGTATGAAACATGTTTGAAATTAAGTAGTATATTCTATTATTACCCGCCAAAATTTGTGGGTAACTGGAGAGAAAGCCAAAGAATTGAGTGTTTTGTAAAGAATTTTAAATTCTTCCTTGTCTTCCAACCCACATTGCTTTTGTTGTAAACGTAATTAACAGGTATTTCAGGATAATTGAAAATCCTTTGGTTCAATACACTGGATTAAATTAAACAAATTGTGAACAACATTACGTTTTGTGCACGATACGTAAAAAAAGTAGAGACTTCGCGAAAAAAGTATCCCTTTCTACTGTAATGTGCAGGCTTGCACAGTCATGTCCATTATAAACATGACTATCCTCACAGCCACAAACTTATCTGTACTCTGTGACGAAAAACGATAAATTGACACTCACAGTACAAAATAATCAACAAATGACAGCATATAAGCGTTCATTTCATTAATTTTACAATTGCATTGAAATTTAATGTTTATACTATAACACTCGTCAAAAAAAGCAAGCTATAACACATCTGGGACCCACTGTCTTTCATTTACAGCAAATCATTGCATGTAAAATTAAATTACATAAAAACGTGCTTAGCAATTTTTTGCATTCTTGTATTTCTCATATACCAGAGTGTACTGTAAACACTGATACGGCTACCAGGATTTGTATTTTTTGAGTAAGTTTAGAAAATAACAAGATATTTCCATCAAAACCTAGTTCATATTTTTTGCATATCCGACCACATACAATTAATTACTTAGATCACTGGTGAGATAGATATCTTTTAGTAATTATTTGAAGTGAAACATTGATATTAGACATCTTTAATTTACCGTATTTCATTGACTACATACAAATTTTAAGGTTTTTTAAAATTTAATGAATTAAAATTGCAATTTCGAAAAATTGACACATGTTTGACACATTGAACCTAACTGATAAATCGGTCTACCACAAATAATCACGTTGCACCCATTAGCAGTACACAGCAGATTATGTAAGCAACATATAACTGTAATTAATGTTGACATAGTTTGCAAAATAACTGCTTAAACTCACACGTCTTTCGACCAAACAAATTCTTCTACCCTCTCGCGAAACATCCACATTTAACTCGATATAGCGGATATTTACAGCACGCGTGGAAACCGTTTCCTGAGGAATTCTTATTTGCCAGGAGCGGACTGAGCGAGTCATATTTCCAGAAATAAAAGAACACGGCGGCGGCGGCGGCGAGCCAATCGATGGCACGGCGCCAGAACGCACGGCCGCGCTCGTAAAGCAGTGGGCAGCAGCTTCAGCCAACGCAGCGACGGCTCTATCCCACGGCCGCGCCCGCGCGCATGTACTCGCTAATACGAGACTCGCGCAGAGAGAAATTCTCACAACGCGGCACACTGGATTTCGCTTTCAATGCCTTTCAAGGAGGAATAGGATTTTTTTTATTTTTTATTTAAGGTCGTATCAACTTCCAGGTCATTAGTGACCACCAAGAGATGGTAACTGTGAGGACGACACGATATGATGATGATAAGGGTTGCAAAGACGAACACAATACAACCAAGACCGAGGTGGGACTCGAACCCGCGATCCTTCGGTCCGAGATCGCTACGGCACCACTGCCTTAGCGACCTCGGCCACCGGATCGGCACCTAGGATTTTGTATATTGTAAACGGTCTGTTAAGAGTATTGTTCGATAAATAAGGATCCCAATTATTTGAGACAGTTATATTATTATTATTATACAGAGTAAAATTTATAAAACATAGTAAAATTTCTTTTATAATTTACATAGATATTGATTACTAATAACGCAATGTTAATTAGACCTATGTTAAGTGTGTACCGGAACAAATTTTACTGCGTTTTAGTGAATTTTTGTAATAAAATTGTAACTGCCCGACGTAATTGGAATTCTTATGTATTGAAAAATACGATTTTTGTCGCTATATGTGATCTATTTAAACAATACATTATCCCTTTACACTAATTTACTGTATGTACGATTCATGCGAGAATAGTAGAATAGTATGGACCTAAACCTGTTTGCTCAATAAAATTGTGAGATTAGAAAATTACCGTTTTGAGTACGTTGGCCCTTTAGTTTTTCTGGCAGTCAGAATATCTGCATAAAAAACAAACACAGAATTTATACAGAATGTCAACCAACACCCGGCATGTATAAAAAAATTAAATTGAAGGTAGGAACGCTGAATATTCAGGAAAGCGCATGAAAATCGAGTTGAAATGATTAAAAAAGTTAATATCCTCTTTTCTCATTACATCACTCTTATTTCAAATAAGCTGAGCACAACTACTAAGATTTTATATGATTTTGTTTGTAAAACTAAATCAGATTTGTGCACATGGAACCTGTTTTGAATATACATTGATTTATTAAATAAATGGTGGAGTTTCGAACACAAGCTTATTAATTTACGTCAATCGACGACGAATAGTTTACTATTTCCCCTTGCAAACGTTTCGCTTTACTTGCGATTCTGAAAATAAGAACTACTTTTTTCGAATTATCGGAAAGGTCTTTTTAAAAATTACAATTTTTCTACCAATTACAAATTTAATTCTTAGAAGTGAAGGTTTTTTTAAAGCCATACCCGCTTTGTGTGTCACGTATGCCATTTGGTCCTCAATCACAACGCCTGTAGGCAGCTGATATTCGATATGTGAAGCGTGAATGGTATTGCGTGAACTCCATTCCTATTGTTCTATATGATCATTATTGATTTGGAGAGTCTCAACTATTTGGGAAATTGCGCGCATAGTTACACGAAAAACAGATTAAGAATATTTATTTGATATTCAATTATGGTTCTCCCTATAATCTTATAACAATAAAAATGAAGAACGTGAAGTGAAATGTAGAAAATTCCAAAAGCGTTTCCTCTCATAAATCCTGCCGTGCACATCGGAAAAATATCAGCGCTGATATCTTTATGAGCAACTGTAAGAAAAAATATAAAAGTGAAAGCCTCAGAAGGTCATTTGGATCCGAATCGCAGAATAATCTTTCTCTTCGTTAGATCTGATTTCCTTAGCGTGCGATGCCTGTGTCTGTGTCTGTGTCTGTCGGTTCGGCCGCCCCGTGCCGGCGCCCTCTTCCGGCCTGCCTTTGGCCGCCGGGCCGAGTGGCCTGTTTGCTCAAAGGGCGGCTGCTGGCGAGGCCCGAGGGCAACGTCTTAGCGCTGAGGGCGCTTTGACCGGTCGCACAGAAAGAAACGAACGGCGGAAGAGGCCGGAAGGGCAGGACGAGGGCCGCCGCGTTGCCCTGAAGAGGGCTGAAGCTTTCGCTGCCGACCCACCGGACTGCTACACAGGTCGCCGTAATTGTTTCTTTAAAACGCGACGGCCGCTCTGCATACACAAGTGCGGACCAATTAAAAGGCACGACGAGGCTGCGGTAGGACGCGCAGTCGTGGCGGGGTGGGGGAAAGAGGCTCAGAGATTGAGGAAGGCCCTCCGCAGGCAACGACAACAAAGCGGTGGCCTGCAACAACGTATTTCCGTTTTGCTTTGGGTCACGCTTTCTTCTAATGCCTGAGAAGCTGTGCGAAACATTGGGTGAGAGTTACACTGGGTGAAAAAAAGGTTAAGAATACCTAATTTAATAGTGCCCAGATTGGCGTTATTTTATAGTGTTGTTAAACATACTGCTGTCAAGCAAGATTTACTGACAAAAATCGTTCTAAGCTTTAGTAACTGTTATGTAGAAACATGCAGAGAATACAAAAGAGATATAGTATGCAGTAATTTACTTTACTTTTCAAGTTTTCGGAATAAATGCTACATATTACCGCTTTACTAGACCAATTGTTACAAAATACCGTAGTTTTCTCGCCTAGTCATGAGAAAGTTCAAAACTTTCTTCTATAGATTTCTAAGATGTAATAGATTTGCACTTCAACATGTACCTATTTTTAATTTTTTGAAAACCAAAATTTGCAAATGTTTGCAATCAAACGATGTACCGACAAATTTAATTAAATATAATTTTGTTTATTGTTTGTTAATTCCACAGTATCTATGCAGGGTATGTTGTAAATTTATTAAACTAACATATTAAGGCGTGTTTGAAATAAGATAGAATGGGGAAAACTTTGTGAACGCATCCAAAATTATCAATTATAAAAATGTCCTTGCGTTGTAACAATACCATAATTTTTTACTTATCAAAATTTCAGTTTAATTTAGGACTTCTTGAGGGCAACATTTCAAAACGTAACAAGCTGGTATAAACCAACTCCTCCTCAACGTGGCATGTCATATCGCACCTCCAATAGAAAAGTGACACAAGTGCGAAATCGACATTTTTCAGCTAAAAGCTGATAAGAGGTTACCAAGAAATACTGCTACTATTCCGAAGTTGATTTTGAATTACTTCAATTACTGTTCACTAGAAGGTGAATATTTGATAGAAACTATAACGAGTATTACAGAACTACGAAACTTAATATGGCAATTTCTGAGAAATCACAAATTCGTACTTGTGTCACTTTTCTGTTGGAGGTGCGATATAGTAATGAACAAAATTGAAATATTACACAACCGCACGAATAGTATTTTATTTAATATAGAAAACCGAAAAGAAACGAAAAGAACCCTGAATATCACGCCAATATTCACGTTCATTATGTAGCCGTTGCCTACTGGCGTTAATTTTTAAATCACATCGAACTTTTGGGTAGCAAATTGCAGTTAAGAAAATAGGATCCGCGGAAG